AGACGCCCGTGTGCTTAGAATAAGGTGCACGTTAGAAAGCACCACACGGTTGAGAATTGCCGGAGCTCTCCAACACGGCTTCTTTCACAATGTTCTGGAACTTTAAACACCAACAATTATCATCATCAACAGTCAATATGAACAAAGTGCGCGGCTGCGTGGTGCACATAACATGCCTCTGGATCGAATCGGGGCTGAAAAGATGGCATAATTCAACAATTTCCACGACAGTTATCTGATGGTGATGCTCTTTTAAGGGCGAAGCTCCTTAAAGCGGCCCCCGTTCGTCCCTCGTAGTCGTAGCCGTAGTGTGTAACAAGTGTTACATTTTGACCTGCAAGGTGGTGCCGGTGGGAGATTTCTCCTGTGCGTTGTTGAATAATAAAATGTTCGCGGCGTGCGCGTTAACTAAATGCCGAATGCTCTTATCTCTCATTCCCCATTAGAATCCATTGCCATGTACATTGCAGCACTATCTGACAAGAAAGGGATGAAAAAATGCGAGATGGTGGTACTTGGAGTGTTGAATAGATGGACGAACGGACACACGGGCAGATGCATGAATGGACGCATGAACGGACGCACGAACAGACGCACGCACGGACAGTTACACAGACGGACGCATGAACGGACGGAAGCAAGAACGAATGGACGGACGAATGCTTCGCCCCACTCTCCATCATTCACTCCGTGGATATGCTGCCATTTTTTTTCCTATGATATAGCTCCGTTTCACGGTTTTTGTGCCAGCCAGCCCCAGGCTCGCGCAGAGTTCCCCATGGGGGAAAAACCACAAACCCCATGGGGTTTGTCCCATATGTAGAATTAAGTTATGCCGTAGCAACCACCTGTACGCAGCTGCTGCCGGCACTCGGCCTCCCGGGCCTGTTTTGTACCCGCGGACTGCACCATCGGCCGGCGAATGCGAGCTCTCACGTTTCTACTGTTGGCGCTCTTCTAGAGTTGTCGGTGGTGGCGCGTGCCCATGTGGAAGGTTTCAGGAGAAACCGCTGCGCGCGTGCTCGGCACCATGGCCGTGACGGGTTGGGCGACGTCAATCACAACGCAGCCAATGGCGCGCGTTTGGGTAAGACGCTGCGAACGACGTAACTGATAACGCAGCCAATGGGGAGCGCTCGTGACACCCCTGCCAGACTGATTTTCGTTTCTCGTAGCCATATACAACTTCCACTGTAAAAAGCAAATGAATTGAGCGATAACGTGCTGATCACAGTGGCTTTCCTCTGGTCTATCGCTTTCCTGAGGATGGGAAGTTCTGAGAATGCAACAGACTTTCTGCTGCCAGTATCGTTCCGAACTTGCACGACCCTATCTGAGAAGATGGATAGGGCAGATTTTGTGCCGCACATGTTCCTCCCCAAACCTGGCCCCCTCGTAGGCATTCATACGCACCCAGCCGCGATCAATGCATGATATTGACATATGTAATCATGCAGAACACATCGCTAGAAAGCAGTGGCCCAGAATATCATATTCCTGTGGTCAGCTTTTAGCTAAGCGCCGGTGAACTGGGGATGCACTGAAGCATATCTGAGACGAGCGGAAAGAAAGAGAGAAAAAAAAGAAAGACATGCACTTTGCACCTGTTTTTCCCGCGGGGACAGCCCCCGACCGCCGTCCGTCCGGTGCGTCTTATAAAACGTCGCCATGGCCGTCGCTGCCGAGATAAGAAGGGGTGGGGTGCGCCGGCGTTATCACTCCACGAGTTCCGCGTGGCGACACGGGCAACTACTCGCTCTTAAGCCCTTATCGGCCCCGGCTCATTTGCTTTGAGGAAGCGTGCCCGGCTGCTTCCACAAGGACGGAAGGGGGCATCTAGAGCAAGATCCAGGTGCGCTATTATCGTCTGGAGTGTGTTTGACGGCCGCGCAGAGTCGACCGTCGTCGCGGCTTACCCCGACCGATGTGCGACACTACACTCGTAATACGCCGTAACAACGGTTTCGAGAAAGTATAAAAAGGTCATCGCGCATGCGCGGTCTATGTTTTGATTGATTGATATGTGGGGTTTAACGTCCCAAAACCACTATATGATTATGAGAGACGCCGTAGTGGAGGGCTCCGGAAATTTAGACCACCTGGGGTTCTTTAGCGTGCACCCAAATCTGAGCACACGGGCCTACAACATTTCCGCCTCCATCGGAAATGCAGCCGCCGCAGCCGGGATTCGAACCCGCGCCCTGCGGGTCAGCAGCCGAGTACCTTAGCCACTAGACCACCGCGGCGGGGCATGCGCGGTCTATGTCTAGAACACTCGAAGAGAGGGATGAAATCGAATTGCGTGCTGTAAAGGCGTGCATTCCAATTTAATGCTGAATTAGCTTGTCTACAGTAGGATACAACTTAAAATGCTGAAGCACCTTAAAAAAGCGACATAGGAATGTGTCTAGCATAATTCCCGCTGAACTGAACAAACCGATGGGATAGTTCTAAACAAAAAAAGGGGGGGGGGGGGGCGCAAGAAGCATTTCTTAGGCAAAACAGTCACAGCTTTGCCACAAAGCTGAAGCAATGAATGCGACAGCACCAAATTCGAGTGTCACGCGAAGAATTACAATCAAATCAAAACGTGTCCCGTGTAGCTCCCGCACGAATGGCGCACGAAACGTATACTAATAGGAAGAGATGAACATGAATAAGTGTCTCAGTTGTTACTTCATTGTGTCTGAAAAGCACGCCCTTTTCGCAACTGGAGACGGTGCAGCAAGTGCAGAGGCCTTTGTGCGCCCGGTAACTACAACAGAACGGTTCGGTGAAAGCCCAAAGCGTACGCGATTCTCTCCACCAAGAGATAAGCGCGCGCACGCGTGAGCGTCTACCACCCCTTTCCCCTTCTGCGGGGCAAAGTACGGGAGGGAGACGAACGCACCAACGCGCGTCGGGACGATCTGGCGGCGTGCGCTCATTGCGCCATCACGCTGGAAATGCTGAAAACACGATAGTTCCCCCGAGATCCCCATCGGCAGCAGTAAGTAGTAGATAAAAATATCTTGCCGCTTCAATGTTGAAGGAAGTCTTCCTTTGTGGCTCAGTGCATAACCTCCTATATTTTCCTTGCCTGCTGGATGAGCGCAAAACGCCCGCCATCTATGACGGCGCCAATTCGTCCCGAGTTACTCAGCAATGCGATGTCATCGCCGAAGAGCAGGTTACTAAGGTACTCCCCATAAACTCTTATCCCTAACTGTTCCCAATCTAGGCCTCTAAAAACCTCCTTTAAGCACGCGGTAAATAGCATTGGGGAGATTGTATCCCTCTGCCTTACACCCTTCCTGATTGGTATTCTGTTGCTTTCTTTATGAAGCACTATGGTAGCAGTTAATCCCCTGTAGACTTCTTCCAGGATGTTTATATATGCTTCATTGACGCCCTGATTCCACACTGTCTGCATGACTGCTGATATTTCGAACTGCTACAAGACCTGTTTTAGACTATTAAAAGCACTGGACTAGATACTAGACTGTAGGGTACTATGCTAAGTGGCTACTGTACACACGCACCACCTCTTCTTGTCCCCATCATCATCCTTCATCCCTCTTTCCTTCCTTTATCCCCTGTGTAAAGTAGCAGGCTAGAGGGAACTAGCTAAGGCCGACCTCTCTGCCCTCCAATTCTCACTCACTCACACTCACCAGTCACAATATAATATGATCAAAGGTGTGTCAACTGAAGTGCTACGAGTTGGGTTACTTTTGGCAACATCAGCTCTCTTTCCAGCCACTTCGCAGGCCTGGTGCACGAGACCTGGATTGGTCTTAGGGGAAGGGTAGTTGTGGGCAAGCCTCCCTGCTGAACTCAATGACAAATGAGCATTTATTTAGTGCAGACATGTAATATGCTGAAAAATAAACAGAGTGTAAGTCGCAACGATTTATTTTGTGTGCCTCCCGTCAATGCGCAGATACTTTGGATAACCTACAAATCCCAAGTTTGCTACTAAAGCAACATTTTAATGGGACACTAAAGGCAACTATTAGGTTGACGTTGATTGTTGAAATGGCGGTCCAGAAACCTGTTAGTCTTACTTTTGTGCAAAGGAAGGGCCTATTTTGAAATGAAATCACGTTTTAGTGGTCGGCATCAGGTTAGCGCACTTCAAATTACCCGCCTCAAGAAGCGGACCGACCGGATCGACTCACGTCACTGTAGTCGTGCACAACATTGCCCAGTCTTACTGCTCTAGTAGCAGCAGACCGAAAGCAGTGGGAGCTGCAGCTACAACAAAAATTGATGAATTTTCCGCCATTGGCTTCAAGGTTGCAGACGTTTTTTTGTTTCAACTGTGCCCCGCTAGATGGTACAACCTGTCCCGTGTAACCACGAGGAAATTAATATTAAATTTTTGAACCACTCGCGCCACTCGCGCCATTCCCCGTATTAACGTCCAGCGGTTCTTTTTTCCTTGAATCAAACAGAAATGAACAAGCAGCATTTTATTGCGTCTCTTGACGCACAGAAGGCTCTTTATTTAGTACAGTTCTCGTTATACCAGTGCACTCGTTATACCAATGTGCTGCAGCCGCTCTGCTTGCCGAATGCCTTCCACATGTATACGACGCCACTGCTTGACATGATGCCAACGGCAAGGTAAATTTACAGCCCACAGAATAGCAAGGGTGATTCATGAACTAACAAGAGATCTAAAGATCAACAGTAATACAGGATGATGAAGCTTGATTCAGTGTTACTCAATCAAATCTAGTTGCAAAACTCAGAGTTCAAAAATTCAATCTTCGACAAACCAGTGCAGCTTAGCAAACTGATAGACACCTAGGAAGAATGACAGAAACCGACCCGCATTGCTCCAGTCTTCAGTGACACTGTATCATTTATTCAAACGCGGGTTAGGAGTTGCATTGAAGAGTTTTGTGGCCGGATATCATCTGCATAAAGTAAGCCGCAACCTTAGACACAATGCTCGCGTCAGGAAACTTGCAGTTGTGTGGAACTGAAGTTTCCAATTGAAGACAGACAACCGATTAATGGCAGCAGTTCTTACTTTATATTTCTCTAACAAAATATGTTGTAAATAAACAACACTGCACAAAAGTATAGCAGCTGAGCCCCGCAAGGCCAGTTTCACCGGCGATCTGCTTTGCCGACGCCTCTTCGGCCGGCCAGCAGGTGCTTGGGCCGGAGGCTAGGAATTGTGCGGTCACCCTCTCCCTTTCTGGCCTGCCTGTTCATTGTCCGCTGAGCCTTCTTGTTCAGCTTCTTCACCTTTGTTCTCATCTGCAAATGCAACACCACAGCAAGGATGAGAGACACGCGCACCCACAAAGAGAAACACTACACCAGCGCACCTAAGTATCCGTGGAAAAATGACCCCAGAATTAGATGATCATACAAATCCTTGCAAGTCCCAAAATAAAGGGCATAGAATTATCAAAAAATAAATAGTGATGCAATAAAATTGCAAATTCTGAGTAAGAAAAGTAGGAGGTGAAGATACGTGGTGGCTCTGTTGCCCTTACCTGAACATTCATGTACTTGTATTATTAACAAGTCAAGTTTGTTTATCTTTGCACATAGCGTAACAGTGATTTTTACTACATTCAGAAGTCGATGGGTACGAAAACAGAAAGAGAGGAGGGGAGAGAGGAGACCTTCTAATACTAAAACATATGTATATTAAGTGTTGAGTGCAGCATGAGCAAAAAAGACAAATTCATGAAAACGTCACAGGAAAGCTAGACAGAATGCAAGGAGACAAAATGAAAGCAAGAAATGACATGGTACTATATAAATCAAATGATTATATGACAGCGTAAGTTGAAAAAACATGCTGGTGAAAATCTTTATCACGCAAGTACCGTGAGTTTGAACAAAACGAATACAACAATATCGAGACAAAAGTAGGCTTGTGCGAATATTCGAATGCTTCGAATATTCAAATGAATAGTACTGTAAACAAATTTGCTTCAATTCGAATGTGAACTGTTGAAAATTTTGAAGTATTCGAAATGAATGAATGTGTGTTAGTGCGCATGCAAACCCCTGTGAAGGTGGTTTCGCTGCAGTGAGGGAATGCTAGGCTATGAAAGCATATAAACAAGCGCATAATAATTTGCATGTAACTTTTTGTAAAGCCGGTTTCACTGCAATAATACAGTGCTAAGCCATGAACACCCCTCTGAAGGGGAAATCCACACGGCCAAGAAGCTTCACTTCATGGTGAAGCATGGTTAGATGGAACATATTGTCCTCACATCAATTCATAATGTTTTAAATTTGAAAGCTTGTTATTCTGGCTTATATGCTGTAAGTATAGTAAATTTTAAAACATAACACATTTTACAGGTTGTCACTGGCATGCTACCGAAAGTCAAGTGTCCTGCTACTACTCAATTTCCAATTCCTTTGGACCAAGAAGAATGACCTTGTTTCAGATATATATATATAAGAGAAAGAAGTGTATACCTAAGGGCTAGTTTTTCCGTGTTTTTGACACAATATTAATGAGATATAACAAACAGATCTAAAAACACGGAAAAACGAGCTCTTAGGTATACACTTCTTTCCCTTATTTCATTGAACGAGGGTCTCGTACTGGCAGACTTGGTGTCATTAGATTGTATACGAGGGACTATTAATCAGCTGCCCGCTCGTAATAAGTTCACGTGCTACGTGACGCCAAACATGCGCATAAAAGAGTGTTTTCACACTCGTAGCTTGGCTTATAGATGGCGCTGACTGACACTCCTACTTCTAAACTCACATATATAAACCCAAAAAAGTGGATGGAGGTAAGGCCGCTGTGGTAGCTCAGTGGTTAGAGCATCGAACGCATTATTCGAAGGTCGTAGGTTCGATTCCTGCCCACGACTGGTTATTTTTTCATCCACTTTTCTTCCTTCTTATTTACGTTCCATTACATACCATTGGTTCTAATAACTTCCCCATTACTGTCTGTTAGATCTATATATATATATATATATATATATATATAACAACTCATCCCTTGACGAAGGGAGGACCCCTCCCAAAACTATTGTGAAATAAATATGTAAACATATCTGTACTTCTTCGGAACGGCTTCGTTGTGTTATTTGTGTTATACCCCATATTTTCACGAAGATAATCTGGCTTATTAAAATATTACTATCAGTGTGTGTGTGTGTGTGATATATATATATATATACACACACACTCACAGGTAAACTTGGATATAACAAAATTGGTGGATTTCCCCAGAAAATTTCGTTATACAAAGGATTTCGTTATATGCAGGTTCGGTACGAAAATTCGGAAAATTAACGTGCAAATTAAACAAAAGAGGGACTGAAGGCACAGCTAATTCAAAACACTTACTTTAAAGTAGAAACTGCATTATTATTGCAATAGCAATCTTACAGACAATCCCTGCAGGTTTTTGCCGTCGCCGCCATGTTCCGTAACAAGTCCAAGTTGATAGCATGCCCCCGCACATCGTAACTTTCACGAGCGGGTAAAAGTGCGCGAGCGCTGCTGAAGCTGAGATCAAATGAGTCAGCCTATCTCTATCGCTTAGAAAGTGCATAAGAAAACATCTCCCGCATGCTAGAACTGCTGTTCAATGCTCACAGAAAGTGAAACACCAGTCTTGGAAACAACGTGGCAAGGAGGGGAAGAATCACTTAAGTAGCAATAATGAACTTGAATTGTAAGGGCGGTAGCGATCGCTGGCGGGCTTGCTATTTTGACGAGTATCAGTGTGGTTTCAATGCGAAGGGACTGTGTGAAAAGAGCACTTGTCCCTGGAGCGGCCATATTTGCCCACACCAGCGTATTGTAAAGGTTCCGCGATATCGAATCCACAAGAGTTGGCTGCCAGCCTTACTTCTTATGACATTACAATTTTTCGCAATTGCATTCATTGCATTGTATTCAACATGCCGTCGTGTTGTCAGAACTAATCGGCTAATTGCGAAAGCTACCAGCCTGCAAACTGGTGGCGTGGCAGAAGACAAAAGCGCGTGACGAATCAACCTACGAAGATCCGTCTTCACCGTGGTCTCAGAAAGTTTCCATCAACGCCTAATCTGACATCCCTATGGAGGTGAGGACACAGTTGTCAGATAATAAGAAAGGTCACAGTTTCGCAAGTGATGATCTCTCTCTCTCTTTTTTTTTTTCTCGTGAGAAAACCACAATATCTTGGTTGAAATGCCCAAATAACGGAGCTGGCATTTGGTTAAAGGTCGATTGTAAGCCACAGACAACGGAAACTAAAAGCATGTCAACCTTAACAAACACATATAGCTGGCCTTGGTATATCATGTTCCGAATGCTTCCTAAAGTCACTCCCGCAAAATTTGACTAGTGTCATGTGGAAAAGCACATTGAGATCTGTAAAAATCTACTGTCATAGGAGACAACACATTTCATTCCTTAATTACACATGCACTCCATAATAAAATACCACCACTGTTGCTGAAATTTAAAAACTAGGGACGACCAAAGTGTTGAAGCAAACTCAAAGAAAAGAGTTATTTGGTCGGATAATTTCACATTGAACAGTTCAAATTGCACATATTATAAATTGCACATATTATATTGCACAATATGTACAAATTGCACATATTAAAAAAATGAGCCTTTCTGTCATGACACAATTAGCAAATCATTTTTCCGAATTGGTATTAGGCATGCGTGAAGGTCACTTTTCGTTTCGAAGTGAAACCAACTTTGAATGGTACCAAGATCTGTACAGCAGTAAAGGTGCAAGTTTTAAGTGTTGCAACATGCCCTGTTTTATAAACTACAGTCGAATCTCATCAATTCAAACACGCTTAATTCGAACTCGCGATGAGGTCCCGTCAAAGCTATGTGTATTTCAATAGGCGAAAACGGCCGGTAATTCGAACGCGCAAGCACTTGCGACACTTGATTTCAACATACCGCGCTCGGAAAATGCTCTCAGCGCCTCACCCAATCCCACAGCGGCACCTTGGACGCCTCAACGCTGCGCGAAAAAGGAAAAAAAAAAAGAAAAAAAAGGCTCCGGTGGAATTTTTGCTCTCTCTCAAATGCCGATCTACGGCGCGCCTTTGCCACGCTTCTCTCTTTTCCGCCCCTTCCACGAGGCACTGCGCCGTGCTCCCGACCGGGCTGCAGAAATTAGGTGCCTTTTTTCCTCTTCTAACTACTACCACCACCACCCTGCCCCATAAAGACCGTTCTCCTTTGAATGCCGTGCGCAAAGACAGAGAGAAAAAAAATTGGCCCCGTATCTGCATGTAATCTGCAAATGTCGTCGAAAGACAATAGTCTTGCTTGTGAAGAGAGTGAACAAAACATTGATTTGATGTTCTGCACAAGAAAATCGGTGAATAGTATTCTGGAGGCGCTGCGTTAGAGTGCCTTGAGCGGGCAGCGGAGGCGAACGAGCGCATCAAGTCACGTCACACGTGAGACATGAGCACCACCTGGCGGTCTTTTTGCAAAACGAAGCGCGTGACTCTCAGACGGGTGTGCGCACTCGTCTCAGAGGTGATAAGGTGAGGAACGCAAGGCGACGGGTAGGTGCCACTACCATCGCGTCTTAGCAAAGCGTTGGAAACATTCACCTTTTCATGCAAGCGTTGGACGGTCAGCGCAGCGTGATAAGCGCTATGGTCCTTAAAATTACTTAAATAGGCATTTTCTAGTAAAAGATGAACAGGCAGAATATATATGTGTTATTATGGTGCCCAGACTTGTGCAATGATTGCTTATTGATTGAGAATTGCACAAGTATGAAGGCTAAACGTTGAGCAACATTGGTGGGCGCTGCGGATAGGGTCGACCGTTACAAGTACCCGATGCCAGTTAAAGTGGACAAACAGACAAATGTACAGACAGACAAACAAAAATTTTTGCGTCGAAGGTCCCCAAGAAACACTATCGTCTTTAAAAAAAGCTGTCGCGGAGTGTGGCTCTCTCTCACGCGCCTGTGCCATACTTCCCTCTTTCTTGTCCCTGCCACTTTACCCTTCTCCTTTCAACGACGCGCGCAAAGAGAGCAAAAAAAAAAAAAGCTGCCTTGGAGTGTTACTTTATCTCAAATGCCGATCTGGTTCTCTCCACATGAAGACGCTCCTTCTTTCTTGTCATGTGCTGGCCACACTGCGGCTTTGGAGCAGAGGGTAGTAGCGGCACGGCCGCTGGATGAAAGAGCGCTCTTTTTCATCCAGCGGCCGTGGTAGTGGATATACAGTCGTTGTTGTCATCTTTAGAGAGTGTCGACGCTGGACATTGCTGGGCGCAACTTCTATTGCCAGGAGAATGCTGAAGCCGAACGGAACATGCTTTGCAAGCTGCATGCGAAATTGATCGACTCGCTGCAAGGCAAACATGTGCAGACGCGCATCACCAATTACTTCAACTAATGGCGGATTTCCTGTGATTTGTGAATAAATGTAAGCCTTCTGAAACTTCCCCCTCGTGTGTTAGCTCAATGCACATGCGCCACTGCATGGGGAGCCCTCTGTTTACTTAGATTTCATTAATTTGGACTTCTTTTAATTCGAACAAATTTTCGGGTCCCTTCGAGTTCGAATTGTGGAGACTCGAGTGTACCATAGATAGTGCATATTAGCCTATATAACATGTTTCTAAACTTAAAAATGTAATCTATAACGTGGCTTCGCGACAGTACAAATTTCCATTGTATGGGTTACTTCATGGCAGGTGTTCATTTCGAATACTCAGAAATTTCGAATAATTCAAATTTGGGTCGAAGAGAATTTGAACATTGTAATATCCACTCGAATATTCACTTTTCCCAACTAAAACCTCACTGGCCCTTATTCAGAGCTATAATGAATGTGGCTCGGCCCTGTGAAACAATACTACTGCAAAGTTATGTTGCCCTGAATCCTATATATGAAAACTTCTGATAGCTACAACAAAAGTTTGGACCTCCTTGACAAGAGCCCACGGTAATTTTTTTCCAGTCTAGTATGAGCCTAATAGTTGCAGCCCTACTATGGCAAGACTGTTGACACTTGCAAACAGAACGCATGCGGCTCACCTTGGCATCGCGGATACCCGATTGATCCCTTGGTGTCCTCGAGCTGCTGCGCACACGACCTTCACTGTCCTCCCGCTTCCTCTTCAAAGGTCTCGGTGTTCTCACTTCAGATGCAGCTCGCTTGAAGTGTGTCTGAATCGGGAAGAAAAAATGTTTATGACGCAAAGGGCTACCCCCCATTAAAGAGCTCGCTTCACAGAATTTCCGTAGTCAGCGGCATCTCTGGTTGTGTGCCAAATGGCAGCATTAGCAGTGAGTGAAAACACTATTTACATACACTAAAGATAGGAGAGGAATAGTGTTGGCAGTTTACGTCTCCACCGAGAAGCGAGAATCGATGGCTGGCTAGCGATTGGGAAGGCGTCTGCGTGCGAATAAATCAAATGTTTTAAGGAAACATCTTTTTTTTTTTACTTGTGCCCACTACAACTCTAAGATATGCAAGTACGAATCCAAATGAGCACAAGAAAAAAGTTAAGAGAGAGTACAAGAAAGTTCAACTTATTTGGTCAACATAGACTCTCTTTTATGGGTTAAATGGCTTCAAAAAGCAGTCATCCTCAATCAAGGCTAGATTCAATACAGTTCAACAACAAACGAAAATGTCATCTTCACAAAGATGATGACAGCTTTAAATTAAGATTTCTATACTATGTGTACAGTCTATCCCAGCTAAATCAGGCTAAGCTAATATATAAAGTACTACAATGAGGCAGGCGCCAAGACATGACCAACAAGGTTTCTTGGTGGTGCCCTTGCAGATACTAATAAATATTGATTATCAATACTTAGTCAAGTTAAGAATATTAATTGTCAAATCAACTGCATAACTGTAGACAGTTAAACATAAACTTCCAAATCGCATCAGATAACGTCATGCTGAAAAATTACCTGTCCCCTGTGCGATTAATACAACTACTTTTTCTGTTTTTAAGTTTGCGAAGCAAAAGGCAAAGGAGGATGAGAAATGTGTGCATGCTACCATTGAGTGCATAAAAGGTGTTTACACACATCACCCCCCCACACTTATCGCAGTTCGCAATGACCTATCACAGTACATTCTATGTTAACAGTGATCTTGCACTGAAGCTGCCACTTGATATTGTGTTTCAATGTGATAGCATTGAAGAGCTCGTCCTGCAGAAATTCTGCTGTCAGGATTATTAACTGTGAGCGAAAATTCTGAATAAATGCAAATAAACAAATATGTTCGGTTCAAGCAGGAATGTAAGCCAAGATGTTTGCATCGCAAGCAGGTGTTCTACCACAGAGCCACACCAAAGCTTGGAACTGCTTCGGAAACAATTGTTCTCGAATGTCATGTAGAGAGAGGTGTCTCCTTTATGCATGTAAAAACGCACGGCAGAAGTGTAGAATCGCACCAGGTGTCACAACATGTGAAGTACGCAATGAGTGGCCAGTTGAGAGACTCGCCAGTATCAAAGTACACAGACTTATTGATTAGAAAAGGTGAGGAAATATTCGAAAGTATCGAATATTCATCAAAGATTGTACTTGCAATAATCGTATTCGTCTAAATAACCACATATTCGAAAATTTCGAATATTCAAACAAACTCGAATAGTCGATGTTCACAAATATTCGTTTGCATATGTCACTGTGAAAAAATCACAATTTTGTGCACTTGCAATAAGAGCCTCAATAGATCATGCAGTAATTACTACGACTTCTGCGCGTGTGCGGTAATGCCTGCATGGAAATTCACGGGGGCGTGATGACGGCTATCGAAGAATGCGGCGGTACGACGTTGCGACAAACCTACCAACCATAAACGTCTCAATCAATCTAAATCATGCACTGCCTTCCCGGCAGTACGTGTGGCTCGGTGATTTAGCGCACGACGTCTGCTGCCGCACCCTTGTGCGCAGGATCGCAAGTATGTATTGCTCGTGGAAACCAAGGCAACTCGCCGCTGCCGCATTGGCTTGACAAAATAATCTTCACACCTTTACTGAGTTCCCTGATGCAAGCATGAATAAAAAAAAAGTCAGTTTCACTGCAAGGGTGAAGCAATAAATGCGATACCAAAAATTAAATAACTTGGAATGTAACGCTCAGAAGGGCTAACAGTTTTACAGCAGTGTCCTATGATCTTCTTCCACCAATATTCCTTCATATGATGGATGACGCGTCTAGAGGTTCTCAACTTCTCTTCCGCTACCCATGAAACATCGTTCTTCAGGTGCCAAATGCGTAGCCAGACGTGAAGTAAGCGTACTTGTCTCCACAGTTCTGATCGCAGAATTTGGTAATGCCGTATGAGTCTTGCCAATCAAAAATAGTAAAGCGTGGTATTGCTATGCTCTGTCTGGGGTCTTCTCTCAAAAAATCGTGCACGCACATGATGCACACATCATTCGAGAACCAGATCCGGCGACTTGAAGCTGCGAAGCTTCAAGCTGCGGCGACTTGAAGCTGCGAATCCCTGACTCTCCTTGACAGCTGTTTCCAAAGAGCTTTTGCTGAAAAGAAAAAGTGAAGGTACAGAGCGGCCACGGGGGAACAAGGAACTGAAACCGTAAGACCTGCAGTGATTCCTTATGTTCATAAGGTCTCCCACAACCTGAAAAAGGTAGCAGGCCAATATGGGGTACCTGTCACCTTTTTCGCGCCAGTAAAACTGGCTCAGCTGTGCCCGAGAACTGCTCGGGGGGTGGAGGCGAGCCGTCAGGAATGCGGCAAGAAACATGGCACGATGTACGGGAAATGTGCCAAAGGCGTTGTTTATGAGATTCCCTTTTCTTGTGGTAACTCGTACATCCGGACTACTGGGCGCTGCATCAATTAACGGGTTAGGGAGCATGAATTAAATTTAATGAAAGATGGCTTGGCGCATTTGCCTATGCATTGTGAAGCCTGCGGGTGTGCACCACGTTTTAACGAGGTTAAGATTTTAGGTGGAAGTAGGCATAAAACTGCGCGTGAGTTAATGGAAGCATATTACATTAAGAAGAAAGGTGAAATTTGTATCAGCGAACCGTCGGTGACGTTGTACTCATCGGAGAAGAGATTGTTTGATAGCTGGATAGCGCGAGGCTGTGTGAAGACTGCGCATGTCTGTATGTTGTTTCTTAAGTCTGGATTTGCGCCCAGTCTATTTTAGTTGGAAGTGCCGCTTGTGCTTGTAGTTTAGTGCCTCTTTACTTTGTGTGTGTTATTTTGCAGCCAAAGCATCTCAGTAAGCAAGTACCAATACACCGTCGATCAACCGAAAGCTCCGTGCCGTTCTTTTAGTTCTCCTGACAACGGGCGCATCCGGTTGCTCGAGGTGCACTGTATCGAAGGGCGAAAGGGTGTCAGGAGGTTCGTGCGGCGCTCGTTGTCCCCAAGTGCTTGAGATCTGAGATTTTAAGATACTGCCATGACTACACCACGGCAGGCCACTTAGGTATCAAGCGCACATGGGAGAAAGTTCGTTGCCGATATTTCTGGCGGAAGATGTTCTCGTACATAAGCAAGTACGTTCTCTCCTGCCCCGACTGCCAGACACGAAAGCAACCACCGGAAAGGTCGGTTGGTTTCCTCAAACCGATCCCACCTGCAGGTCGACCTTTTCAGCAGGTGGGCATGGACTTTATTGGGCCTTTCACTAAACCCAAAGCAGGGAACCGCTACATCGTCGTGATTACCGACTACCATACGAAATGGGTCGAGGCTGTCGCGTGTCCAGCGGCCACTGCCGCAGAAGCAGCAAGAGCTTTCGTCGAACAAATAGTCCTACGTCATGGTGCCCCGGAGAAAGTAATAAGCGATCGTGGACAGCACTTTGTCGCCAACTTGACCGAAGAAATATTCCGGCTCGTGGGTAGCGAGCATGCCACCACAAGAGCATACCACCCACAGGCCAACGGCTTGTGCGAGCGTTTTAACCGCACGTTGGCTGACATGCTCAGCATGTAAGTTTCCTCACACCACCGCGACTGGGATGAATTTCTACCGTACGTTCTTTTTGCATACAATTCTTTCACCCACGAGACGACTGGATTCATTCCCTTCTTTCTTCTTCACAAACATGAACCGACACTACCGGTGGATGTAGGGTCGGACGCGCAACACGGATTCGACTACACCCTGGATGCAATGAAAGTGGCTCGCAGGCTGCGACAGGCTCTAAAACTAGTAAATGAACGGGAGAAGCGTCAGCAGGAGAAGAACAAACGCAGCTATGATGCTAGGCGACGAAGTGTTGTTTATCATCAGGGCGACCTGGTGTACTTGTGGACTCCCTCCCGGGCGAAAGGGAAGACGACGAAGCTTCTTCACAAATATCACGGACCTTTCCGTCTTGTGCGCCGGGTAGCCGAGAACAACTGGGAGGTGGTAGACCAAACAGGGAAAAAATGTGACGTTGTGAATGTGGCCCGTTTAAAGCCCTGCCACGTTCAATTGGGCTCCGATGCCGACGACGCGGACGATGAGTCTGATGATAATCATGAGGTGCGGGATCTAGGTGGTGATGTGCGCGAGTTCAGTGCAAGGAGAGATGACCGCGGATTGCATCGAAGTGTTGTGCGCGGGAACAGTGCAACGAGTGATGAACAGGGATTCTATCAAAGTGTTGTGCGCGAGTGCGGCTCCAATGGTGATGTGCGCGAGTGCGGTTCGCGAGTGGGTCAAGAACTCCGTTTGCAACAATGTGTGCGTGGGACACAGACCAGTGTTCCAGTACAGCAGTGGGAAGGCTACGTAGCACAGTGATTCTTCCCACCGAAGGATAAGTGCGAGCGCACACAAGCACCTAACCCCATCCGCGGGGCAAACTACGCGTTGGAAATAAGCATGCATTGGTGCATTTCGACAAGCTGGATACTGAGCACGGATGGCTCTTTTTTTTCTTTCTTTCTTGAGTTTTCATATATATAGATACGTACTAATACATACACGGTGCATGATGGGGGTGGCCGCAGGGACAGGGGAAACCAGCCAAGGTTGTCCACATAATTGGTGTCACAATAAAAATATCTGTACGCAAGGGGAAATGCACGTGTATACATTACATGGCGCGGCGCTGATAGAGTGAGTTTAGTACGCAATGCGCTGCATGCAACTAGCTAGGGGCATACTCAGCTTGACGTATGATGACAACATGTTTCATGTATAGCCCGGCCAGT